TCAATTATAGAATGCTGTTTCTTCAAACAGCATCCCATTGTCAGATCTCATGTGTACATATTTTATGAGCTTTTCAACATAGGGCAAAGCAGGACCATTAACTGACCTCAGTGAACATTTATTAAGACACCTGAATGTCCCACTAAGATGTGCTACAAAAGATTATATTAGTGAAATAGCAGGTTTAGCCTAATAGTTGTACATCAACTCTTTCTCTTTTAGAATAGGCTTTACTGTTTGCTGCATTCATGACCAGCAATAATTCTAGTATTGCTCTTTAAGAGCTTCCCAGGTGGCTTAGTAGGAGATGCCAATGCAGGAGACGCAGGTTTGATCTCTGGGTCGGGAAGATGCCTCTGCAGAAAAAAATGGCAACCCACTCCAGTATTCTTGCCTGGAGAATCCCATGGACAGAGGGGCCTGGAGGTCTATGGTCCACGCGGTCAGAAAGAATTGAACACTACTTAGGGATACAGCACACACGTGCGCACGCACATACCCACCCACCCAGCCACCCACCCACTGCTCTATAAGAAGCACTGGTATCTCCCTACCCCTCAATTTCAGACTATTATGGGAACTTGTCACTTGGCCTTAAGAAAGGTGGGTACTTGAGTTTACAGGGCTTCTGTCGGGGATTTTTTTAGAAGTTGTGCTGGATAACTGTTTTGGACTGAAAACTCCAACATTTCTCATACTTTTATATCCATTCATTTCATGGTTTAATCAACAAGCGATTCGATCTTGAGAAAAACCCAAAGCCTTTTACTTTAAAAGCACATGCCACTTTCAACCACAAGGGGACAGTGTAATTCTATCCTCAGCCCTAATCAGCAGGCTTCTCCAGGAGAGACCTGCTATTCTTGCTGTTAGTGCCTCTGCTGAGCATTTTAATTGTCTTCATTAGCCTAGACCATCAGCCACCCCAATCAAGTCCAACAAGAAAGATAAACAAAAACTGGGTAAAATGAATGAAAGTTGGAGCCCAAATAACAAGAAGTGCATGCTCAGCCGTGTCCGACTCTGTGACCAGTGGATTCTCCAGGCATGAATACTGGAGTGGGCTGCCATTTCCTACTCCACGGGATCTTTCTTACCCGATCCAGGGATCAAACCCACATCTCTTGCGTCTCTTGCAATGCAGGTGGATTCTTTACCACTGTGCCACCTGAGAAGCCCAAATATCAGCTATTTATTTTTTTAGTCAAACAAATTTAACAGGTGGATTCTGATACCTGCAAATCCTGTAACTAATAACTGTGTCGATTTTGGGATGGCCTGTGAGATTAGCTATGGCTCCTTTGAAGCCGGTTGAGGTCCGTAATGATGGTTATTATCATTTTACAGCTGTCCTAGTTGATTCATAATTATACATGATGGAAGCCACCTCCACGCATGACCCCTCACTGATGCTGAAATAAGGAGGTTGAGGACCCATCCCCGTTGATACGCCTCCTTCCTGGTTGTCACCAGGTGTGAGAACCACGCAGTAAAATGACACTTTACAAGCAACAGATTAACCAGAGACATTTAACAAGGGCTGAGGACCGAAATTCTCTGCTGGGTTTCTGTCCCATGAAGCAGAGTGGTGCACAGGCTACAGTGGCAAGAACCCCTCCATGGAATTCTCCTGTTTCCTGAAAGACTCTTAAGCTAAAGTATCTGAATTCAGGTCACTTTCGCTTCAGACTAAAGGGGCCCTGCTGTTGGTAAGCTGTGTACACTGAACTCCACGGGAGAGCCAAGCAGGACTGCTGTGAACACCGAGTCACCTTAGGCAACGTCTACTGTCCATAGGGGCCCTGCTAAGACCCAAGGGTCTCTGCCAAACCAGTTGCTGTAAAAATCACCCCGCTTCTCTCTTTCCCTGAGTCGGGGGAAACACACCCAAAGAGCAGAAGACAGCAAAGGTCTCCAAGATGAGATTTTTCTTGATGGTTTCTCAAATCATTTCACCATCACTCTGGAGCAATATCTTGACATTTCTTCCTTCAGCAACTTGGAGCACAAGAGAAACACTTGACGTCAGCAAACTGGCCCTGCCATCATGGTTCATTGTGGCTGCTACCGCTGCTGCAGAAAGAGCCGAGCGTTCATCCCCAAGGCAGGTTATCAATCCTTCAGGCCATCTGTCAGCCTAACCTGATTTCATCGTGTACACACCAACCCTATTGATCCCCACAGGAAATGGGAAATCTGACCCTCTGAAGGTGTGTGTGTGTGGGGGGGGGGGCTCTCATTTCCAAAATACACTAAACTTATAATTACAGAATATAGTTTACTGCTTATCAAAGTCCTGGAGCCATTTTGGTTTTGCCTTGAGAAAAGCAAGGTAAGGAATGCCTTCTAAGGTTATTGTTCTTCATATCCTGACTTGAAAACCAATTCCCAAGGTTCATTTTTTATTTTCAAACGTAAATCTCATGAGAAAACAGGAGAGGAGGAAGGGGGAGAGGAAGAGAGAATGATTTTGACAGACTGGGTGAGGAGTCCAGGTAAGGGGTCTTCAATTTGCATAAGCAAGTCTGAATGGTCTTTTTACAAAGTGTGCAGTTGGACCTTTCGGCTCTATTTCTTCCTGCCTTGCATGTTTGCTCTTCTGATCTGAATTAAAAGTTCCCTGAGGGCAGACACATATCCACCTCACATCCCACCATATTCTCAACGCCTCCATGAGCTGGAATATAGGACCCAGTCCAGGAATTTTTACATTTGTGTGAAAGGAAGATTCCCCACCTGACTCTCAAAAGGCAAGTTTAATGAATAATTTATCAGGTCAGGAAGAAAAGGAGAATTAAAAGAGAATAGCACACTAAGCAAACAATTAAATAAGCCAAGGGTTTAACTGGCAAACTCTTAGTTCTGGAACGAACACAGACACCTGCCTTCTTTGTACTCTCACTGAAGCCCCTGGATGGTTCTTGACAAAGGCTTTCAGAAACAGTAAGAATTAGAAGAAGAAATTCTTTTTCTCAGTCTTCTCAAATGAAACTGAGGGATAAGAGTTCAGAAGCTGGCCGGCCTGCCTGCCTACGTGGTGGGGAATCTCCATGGTGCGGCCTCCATCCTACACACGAGCAACTGGCTTCTCCCCGCATGCCTCCTCAGGGCCCTGAAGGGGCCAGGCTTGAAATAAAATCACAGCCATCTCCACCGTGTTCATAACCCTCAGGTGTCCACGTGGCTGGGACACGCACAGACAGGTGCGGGCATGGGAACCCTGGCATCCTCCCGGCAAGTTCAGCTTCACGCTGTGGTGACTGGTTTTCAGTACCAGAGAGAACACTCATTCTCCGCTGGTTTGCCCACTGCTCACTCCCAGCCTCATCATCATGGGCCTTCCTTCCAAGGGAACTAGAGCACTTTGCATCCCTGGCACCATCCGCTTTGCTGGAGCCCAGTGGGGATGTGGTGTTCACACAAGGGCTGGTTTACAGAGATGAGGACTTTTATTTATTTCTATTTTTAAAATTTATTTTGTTAAAGTATAGTTGATTCAGTGTGAACTTCTACTGTACAATGAAGTGATACAGATACACACACACACACACACATTCTTTTTCATATTCTTTTCCATTATGGTCTATCCCAGGATATTGAATATAGTTCCTTGTACTCCACACTAGGATCTTGTGGTTTATCCATTCTCTATATCATAATTTGTATCTACTAATCCCAAACTCCTAATCCACCCTTCCCCACCCCCTCCTCCCCCTTGGCAGCCACAAGACTGTTCTCTAGGAGGTCAGGACTTTTAGATCTCACTCTGTTAAGCACCACATTGCACTTTTTATTTGGTTTCAGATGCTCAGGTGATTCAGCCGCTGTTTTTCATAACAGTAAAAGACTTAACCAAGAAAACCCCCTCAACCTCTTTGTTCAAGAGGTTCAGAAATTCACCATGTGACATAAATGCCTCTCAAAGCCTCCACTCTTGGATCATGATATTTAAAAGATCAGATTCATTGTAACACTTGGACTGAGGTTGGACAGCTAATTACAGACGCTCTAGTATCTGTCACATCCCAATTAGCTTTTACCAAGCCCTCACCTAACCCGGCTACCTCATGCAGACTGTACAACAACGGATGCTTACCCTGGGAAAAGGAAAACTTCAGGATGGAAGAAGTAGAATTTCAGAGATTAGACTGCCTTTAAGCCACGTCCCAGATGAATCCTAGTTCATAGTGCTGGCTTCCTTGTGAGTTAGATCGACCACACCCTCTGATGTACCCGGATGTAAGGGCGCTGACTTAACATTATGCCCAGGCACTAGCAAGAAGACAGCTCGACTTCCTCCTCAGCGGTTAACACATCAAGGCCATCTTTTACTCTCATGCTTCTCGCATTAACAAAATAATAATAATTTTGTTTATTTTTGGCCGTGCTGGCTCTTTGCTGACGTGCGGGCTTTTGTCTAGCTGCGGACAGTGGGGGCTACGCTCTAGTTGCGGGGTGCACGCTTCTCCTTGTGGTGGTGGCTGCTCTTATTGGGGAGCGGGGGCTCTGGGGCATTCAGGCTTCAGGAGGTGTGACACACGGACTCAGCAGCTGTGGCCCCCGGGCTTTAGAGCACAGGCTCAAGAGTTGTGGCCCACGGCATCTTCCCGGACCAGGAATCGCACCTGTGTCTCCTGCATTGGCAGGCAGATTCTTTACCACCGAGCGACCAGAGAAGCCCTCATCTTCCCTACGTTTTAAAAACATTAAGCATTCTTTAGATTATAAAACTGGTCCACAATATATGTTTCACGGACTGCTAGAAAGCAAGATCTGCAAAAAAACATCCCTGCAGGTTACTTGTCAGTCTTCCCAGAAACTACTTAGGGCTCGGGAGACAGAGCGACGGCTTAATCAGAATGAGTCAGAACTCGTTATTTGAAAATGGATGTTCTTGGGGCTCATCATCAAGGCTTCCTGCTGGAAGGGTGTGGGCAGTGGGTGCAGACTACTCAAGGAGTATGGCTCCCCAAGCCCCTTGTAGAAGATGTGACAAGATCATGGTCTTTGCCGAGCAGAGCTTCTCAAATGGGGGGTCCTGGAGCAGAAGCCTCATCATCATCTGGGAGCTCGTTAAAAATGCAGAATTCTGGACCTTCCCTGAGGCTTATGAGTCAGAAAGTCTGGGGTGAGGTTGGGCGAGCTCTGCTTTCACAAGTCCTCCAGGTGAGGTGATGTTGCTGAAACTGGAGAAGACAGTTCTGGGACAGCACCTACGGCCTCTGCAGAACACCTGGGGATCTTGTTAAGCTGCAGACTCTGAATCCTGTAGGCTATTATTATTATTAGTTTAGTTTTAATATTTTTTAATTGGGGCTTCCTAGGTGGTGCCTGGAGAAGGAAATGGCAACCCACTCCAGTATTCTTGCCTGGGAAATCCCACGGACCGGGAAGCCTGGAGTGCTGCCGTCCTTGGAGTCCCAGCGTTGGACACGACTGAGCGACTGAACAACAGGTGGCGCTAGTGGTAAAGATCCTGCTTTTTGGTTGGGAAGGTCCCCTGGAGGAGGGCAGGCAACCCACTCCAGTATTCTTGCCTGGAGAATCCCATGAAGAGGAGCCTGGTGGGCTACAGTCCATGGGGTCGCAAAGAGTTGGACATGACTAAAGCCACTTAGCACACACACAGCACATGCGGTTGAAGTACAGTTGATTTACAATGTTGTGTTAATTTCTGTTATATAGCAAAGTGACTCAGTTTTATATATATATACATTTTTCCTATTTTTTCCATTATGGCTCATCTTAGGATACTGAATATAGTTCTCTGCGCTATACAGTAGGGCCTTGTTTATCCAATCTATGTGTAGAAGCTTGCACCTGCTAACCCCGACCTCCCACCCCACCCCCCGTCCCTCTCCCCCTTGGTAAACCACCCGTCTGTTCTCTTATATGTTCCTGTGAATCCTGCATTCCTACCTGGCCCACAGGCAAGGTCTAGGCTGCTGGTCTGAGGGCCGTGAATGAGTAATTCTACTGCAGATTTCCTCTTCCTTAACTAGGGTTGAAGGGTCATCCAGCCAGATTTCCGTGCTGAAACCTGACCTTCATCTTACTCAGAGCTATGTGCGATGCGGTCAGAGCTCCCGGGTCTCTGGAGCCTTCTTGATTCCCACAGAAGTGCCCACACACAAGGCCACTCTCTCCAGAGTCAGAGGAGATGGCAGTGAGCGGACGAGTCCCGGCTGTGCGGAGTCACAGGCCCAGCTCCCGCTCCATCCCTTCCCACAGCATCGCTGCGGCGCCCGAAATGAGCCCAAGCCTCCTGTGCCTCCGCTGCTCCTTCTGAAAAGTGAGGCCACTTAGAAGGTTTCTTTCCATTTCTGAGAAGAAGTGAAGTGAAGTGAAGTCATTCAGTTGTGTCCGACTCTTCGAGACCCCGTAGACTGTAGCCCACCAGGCTCCTCCGTCCATGGGATTCTCCAGGCAAGAATACTGGAGTGGGTTGCCATTTCCTTCTCCACCATCTCCGAGATCCTTTTATAAAAGAAGTTGCTGAATCCTAAGTGCTGAGACACAAGTCCTCAGCGGGATCAATAGTGTCAACTCCCCGGGAAGCACAGTCTTAGTGATTCATGGAGAACATGATGAGGTCACACGTGTCTGGAGGGGACACCACGGGCGGACTTTTTCTTGGCTGCCCTGAGTCTTGGTTGTGGTGCGTCCTTTCTCTGGTTTCAGAATGGAGAGGCTTCTCTTGTCGTGGGGGCACGGGCTCTAGTAGGGCTCTGAAGCTGTGGTGCACAGGCTTAGCTGTCCCACAGCATGTGGGATCTTAGTCCCCCGACCGGGGATGGAACCTGTGTCCCCTGCATTGGATGGTGGATTCTTTTTTTGGGGAGGAAAAAAAACACTTGACTGAGTCACAGCCAGCTGTAAACACGTCACTGTGAGACCACATGGATGGTGGGCTCTTAACCACTGGGCCACCAGGGAAGCCCCCTCATGGGAGGTCTTTACGGTCAGTGTCCAGTGTCAGAAGTCAATCCCGACAACCCCTGAACCATCAACAGCACTTCTGACAACACGGGGCTTCCCGGGTGGCACAGCAGGTAAAGAATCTGCCTGCCAACGCAGGAGAAGCCAGAGGGGTGGGTTCGATCGCTGGGTCAGAAAGATCCTCTGGAGGAGGAAACGGCAACCCACTCCAGTAGTCTTGCCTGGAGAACCCCATGGACAGAGGAGCCTGGCGGGGTACAGTCCATGGGGTCACAAAGAGTTGGACACGACTGAGCGCGGCAGGCATGCTTGGAAGCACCAGCACTGCACACTGGCTGTAGGACTGACCCAAGTCTCTTCATTTTCTCATTCATGTCCAGTTGATATATTTGCACATTTACAATTCATATTTATAAAAGTCTTTCAGCAAAATGCAAGAATCAAATCAAAATATGAAGATTTCCACACACAGGTATAGAAAGAGAAGATGTTGCTGCTGGAAGCTGCAGAGGCTTTTTAAGGCATTTGCCCCAAATCAGGAAAATCTTACAGGGAAAAGTTTGAAAGTGATCCATCTACTTTCCAGTCTTAGTACTTGATAAGCCTGAGGTGATTCCAAAGGTGACAGAACATCCTGGAGACTATCTCTGTCTCCATTATTAAAGATGCTCAGCTCTTCGAGTTGGTTTCATTGGTCTCCTGACCTCCAACAGTTCTTACTCTTTGACTCTAAGGCATAAGCTGTATCTTACTCTTTGATACTCCATAATTCACTGAATGAATAACTGGTAAATATCCACTCTGTGACAAGCACTGCTTCATCTTCTAATCACACCTTGAATATGAGATGACACTGGTCTGATGCAATTCAGTTGTAAAATTCAACTGGCAAGAGGTGAAAAATCTCTAGAATTAAGTCCCTAATATGTAGGGCTTCCCTGGTGGCTCAGATGGTAAAGAATCTGCCTGCAATGCAGGATACCCGGGTTGGATCCCTGGTTGGGAAGATTCCCTGGAGAAGGAAATGGTTACCTACTCCAGCATTCTTGCCTGGAAAATCCCATGGACAGAGAAGCCTGGTGGGCTACAGCCTGTGGGGTTGCAAAGAATTGGACACGACTGAGCAACTAACACTTTCATTTTTCTTAACACAGAGATATATTTTGATCGAAGATGAAAAACAATTTACCATTGAATTCCAACCATGGGAAGTTAGGAAAAAACAACAGCCAGAAGTCCTTTCACTTCCACCATGGTGCATGAGAAGCCACATCTAGTTGCAATAATTGTAGTGTGATTCTGTTCGGCTTGACAGCTGAGGCGCCATGGCATCGACACAGCTGCAATGCCCTTGGACTGATGTTGTTTCAAGCTGAGAACTGCCCTCATTGTGTCTGGAGGATTCCAAAGACAGCCTTTGCATGTTCACAGGGTGGATAGGACCGCCTCTGGGCGCCCACGCATGCACTCATCACAGTCAGGGTCAGCCATCCACTGAGGATGGGTCAGATTCAAGGACCCAGGAGGGCACCTGTAAAGAGTACCCCCCATTCTGCCGACCCCCCACCCGGAATGCAAGAAAACTGCTTTCACTTTACAGTTAAAGCAAAGCTTTAAAAAAAAAAAAAAAGATGTTCAGGAAAGAAGTGGCGCATGCATTTAAAATCCCATTAAGGCATAAGTGATGGAACAGAGCAAGTTACCTGGGGAGGAAAAAGGACGAAGGAAGAAGGTGAGAGGGCTGCGGGCAGATTGCAGACACACCGTGTGTGGAGTGAGGCCATGGGAACAGACTCAGGACTTTTCTGGGAATTTTTTTCTGCCTTACCACTTTGTCTACAGCTGGCCTCACTCCACGGGGTACTTTGGGAATTTAAGAATGACGTGTGTATGTACATGTCTACATACTTCAGTATATCTATTTTCTTCTTCTCCTTAGACCAATTTAAGGAAGGTAATACTCTGTGGATGGAGGTAGGGGAGGTGAGTGTAACAGAATAGAAACCCCTGTGGAGATTCTGTTCTTACGAAGTGACTAAACATGGAAACTGTCACCTTCTTTGAATGAGGTCCCTGTTCATTAAAAAGGCCATTAATATCATGACAGCCAAACACATTGCAAACCAGATACAAAAGGCAATATGGAGTATTTGAGAAGATGTGGCAAGAAGATTTAAGATGTCACACACAACACATACATCCACACACAATGGAATATTACTCAGCCACAAACAAGAATGAAATAATGCCATCTGCAGCTACACGGGTGGACCTAGATAGTATCAGGCTAAGTGAAGTAACTCAGAGAAAGACAAATACATGCTGTCGCTTACATGTGGAATCTAAAAAATAATACAAATGAACCTATATACAGAATAGAGTCAGGCTCACAAACAGAGACAACAAATTTAGAGTTACCAAAATGGAAAGCAGGGGTTGAGGGGGAATAAATTAGGAGTTTGGGATTAACAAAGACATACTGCTAAGTGTAAAATAGATTAGCAACAAAGATTTACTGCATAGCACAGAGAAGTAGGAAATAATCTGGGAAAAAAACCCATATATAACTGAATCACTTTGCTGTACCTCTGAAACTAACACAATATTTTATATTGACTATATTTCAATTGAAAAACGTTGTTTCAAAATAAAAGGCAATATGGGGGAAACTGTAGGGTCCTGAGTAGACATGACAAGTAGAACAGTATCTCACTCATGAGCACGAGAATATTTTCTCAACTTTGATGGCTGAGCGTTCTGACTAGGGCCCTACTGAACAACCAGCCTTGCTGGTATCAGCAGGCGTGGCCTCCAGGCCCCCTCCACCCATCAGCCCCGCTGGTCTCACGTGGCTTCCTTCTCAGGCCCCGTGAGAGGATCAACCATTGTACAGATCCTCCCAGGACTCCTCAGTCCTGCTCACAACCCCTGGGACAAGTGTTACACTGCTGATGCCCAGACCTGACCCTCAGATATTCTGGCAGATATTTGAGGTCCAAGAATCTGTGTTTTTAATGTGTGTCCTAAGTAATTCTGAAGTCAGCTGTTCACTGAAATCCCTGGGCTCAAAATTTGTTACAAGCCCTAGGGAATCCCAGTGAGGTGGGAGTTACTCTTCAAGTCTTTATAGACATTTAGAATTACTGAAAACTGACATAGCATTTGGCCAGGGGAATCATCATAGACGGAATTAGGAAAGAGTGAGAGGAACATCTGTATGAATATGGCTTCTACAAGCTGTATCATTTTCATTGGTTCATCCTAGAAAAGGTAAAATCTATTCCCGTGCTGGAGTCCCAGCGGGCAGGGGTAGTGGAATTCTGAAATCCACTGGGAGACCTCTGCAAGGCATTTTCTTCCTTACAATGCCACGTAGCTAATGTGATTATAAGACCTAATGAACTGAGACTAATGCAATTTTGAAAATCTTCATAGCTAATGAAAATCACATCTTCTCCCTTAAGATTCCACCCCCCCCCTTTTTCCTGTTTGTAAATCATGAATGAAATGAAGTCATGGGTTAAGGCTGTATTTAGGTAAAGTCTTTTATAATTTGTAGACTTTGACATTTTACATGTCACAGTGGTCTCCAAGTGGAAGGGTCACATTTGGAATTTACATTAGATGCCAATAAAATGTAAACTTTTTGGAGAGACCTAGAATATGGGTTTATAACACTGATATTTAAAAGAGAGTTGTTTCTCCTGCTAGTTCAAAGAATTTTGTAGGTCACGGTGTCAATGCTGTCACTCTGCTCTAATTTTCATTTTTTTTCTTGAAATTAGAGAGCAATAAAATGAAAGCTAATATCAGGGTATGGCTTTGACCTCACTCCACCCCCTGCTCCACACTGCTCTGTCCTATGTTTTTACGCCCTCTGGGGAAGGAACATTTCAAAGGCATAAAATTGAGAAGCAGAGGAGTGGGCCATGGTGAAACGGTAGGTTGGGAGAGGTACGCCTTAGAGATGTATTGTAGTAAATTCAAGAAAAGGTGCCAGCCACCTCTACCCAACTGACAAGTTACTCAATTTTAACTTTTATTTGTTAATAAAAGAAACACAGATATTTATGGAGTATGCATGCATGATTAGTGGCTTCAGTTGTGTCCGACTCTTTGTGACCCTATGGACTGTAGTCCACCAGGCTCCTCTGCCCACAGGGATTCTCCAGGTAATACCGGAACGGGTTGCCATGCCTTCCTCCAGGGCATCTTCCCAACCCAGGAATCAAATCCACGTTTCTTATGACTCCTGCATTAGCAGGCAGGTTCTTTACCCGTAGTGCCACCTGGGAAGCCCAGATAAAACTATTCAGAGCCTAAAAAATGGAATATGGGAACTCAAAGAAATGTCGCACCTGGAGTCA